GACATTGGGCATCTTGCCCACCATGGCGCCTCCGCACTCTGCTTGTTGGCTGCTCACCACCTTTGGCTTCACATTGAAGGTCTTCAGCCATAGGCCGAAGTGAGGTGGGATGCGGAGAAAGGCCTCGCACATGACAATAAATGCCGAGATGTTGAGGATAGAGTTGGGGGCCAAATCATGGAAGTCTAGCCCGTAGTAAAATATCAGTCCGCAAACAAACGGGTGGAGAGGGAATCCCAGCTCACGGACGAAGTGTGTGAGAAACACAACCCTCTCATGGGGCTCTGGGGTAGGGACGATCTGTCCTTTGGCCGGAAGCTGGTGAGCGATTCCCTTGGCCAAATACTCGGCCTCCCGGAGCTTCTTGATGTCCTTCTTCTCGATGGAGGAGGCCATCCACTTGCCTCCTGCTCCGGATCTGGACATGGTTGGAGTGCTTTTTTGGGCGGAGAAGGCGAGATCTTGGGCGCTGGAGCTCAAGGATGGATAGGCAGAGGAAGGAGAAGGCAGTAAAAGTCATGCACCTCCCCACTCGCCTTAAAACTCGCCTATTTCCCAAACACCGTGCAGATGTCATGGTCGGGTTACCCATGCCCGTATTGATGAGAATCCCATGATAAGGGGACACGACCTCTGCTTTGACAAGACGTGCCAATGAAACCGCACCTTGAAATACGGAGCGGCGGGCTAAAAACGGTTTGAATAATGACCAGATAGTGGCGTGATGTCATGCTACAAAAAGTTGTCAGCGGATTGGACTCGTGAAATATTATACTCTCTACGGTTGTGTGTGGTACTTGTTTTGCAGAGCCGGACACGTTTTCTATGTTCGGAATGCTATGTTGGAATATTTGGAGAAGGAACCCGCCTTGCAATGACGAAGACAATTTGCATGTCGGACTCATCATCATTGAATCCTGGTTCAGGGGCTACTGAGGGAGTCCTGGATTAAGGGTCCTCGGACAGCCGGACTATATACTTTGGTCGGACTGTTGGACTATGAAGATACAAGATAGAAGACTTCGTCCCGTGTCCGGATGGGACTCTCCTTTGCGTGGAAGGCAAGCTTGGCGATTCGGATATGTAGATTCCTTTCTCTGTGACCGACTTTGTACAGCTCTAGCCCCCTCTGGTGTCTATATAAACCGGAGGGTTTAGACTTCTAGGGTTTAGCCACAACCATCATAATCTCATAGGCTAGACTTTTAGGGTTTAGCCATTACGATCCCGTGGTAGATCAACTCTTGTAGTACTCATATTCATCAAGATCAATCAAGCAGGAAGTAGGGTATTACCTCCATAGAGAGGGCCCGAACCTGGGTAAACATTGTGTCCCCCGCCTCCTGTTACCATTAGCCTTATACGCACAGTTCGGGACTACCCGAGATCCGCCGGTTTTGACACCGACAAGCGTGTATCCCTATTTAGGACACATGATTGTCTGGGGGTGGGAGGGACGCCCCGAGTGCGCTTTGAAGAGCCAGGTGTGCCCTCTCTGATGAGAGTCCGGGACGCCTCCTCGGCATCCTGGACCTCAGCTATGAAAGTTGCGGCCTGCTCCTTTGTTCGAAGGGAGCACTCAGTGTTGTCGTTGACTGTAATAACACCTTTTGGCACTAGCATTTTTAGTTTTAGATATGCGTAATGTGGGATGATACGTCCATTTTGCATCATGTTTTACTATTGTTATTTATAATGTTTTTATGCACAGTAATGCTTTATGGAGTAATTTTAATGTCTTTTCTCTCATAATATGCAAGGTTTACACAAAGAGGAAGAATACCAGCAACTGGAATTCTGGACTTGAAAAAGCTACGTCAGAGTTACCTATTCTGCACATCTCCAAATGAGTTGAAATTTTACGGAGAATTATTTTGTAATAAATAAAAAATACTGGAGAAAAGAGTTAACAGAGGGGGGATGTATGGTGCCCACAAGACACCAGGGCACGCCAGGCCCCCAGGCGCGCCCTAGTGGTTGGTGGGCAGCCCAGCCCACCTCCGATGGCCATCTTCTGGTATATAAGGTCTTTTGACCTAGAAAAAAAACAAGGGGAGGACTTTCGGGACAGAGCGTCATTGTCTCGAGGCAGAATTTGGGCAGGAGCACTTTTGCCCTCCGGTGGAGCGATTCCGTTAGGAGAACTTCCCTCTTGGAGGGGGAAATCGAAGTCATCGTCATCACCAACAACCCTCTCATCTTTGGGAGGCCAATCTCCATCAACAACACCATCTCATCTCAAACCCTAGTTCATCTCTTGTGTTCAATCTTTGTACCGGAACCTCAGATTGGTACATGTGGGTGACTAGTAGTGTTGATTACATCTTGTAGTTGATTACTATATGGTTTATTTGGTGGAATATATGTTCAGATCCATTATGCTATTTAATACCCCTCTAATCTTTAGCATGAATATCATTTGTGAGTAGCTACCTTTGTTATTGATGTCACGGGAGAAGTCATGTAGCGAGTAATCATGTGAACTTGATATGTGTTCGATATTTTGATGATATGTATGTTGTGATTTCCTTAGTGGTGTCATGTGAACATCAACTACATGACACTTCACCATCTTTGGGCCTAAGGGAATGCATTGTGGAGTATACCTGGCCAAACCTCGGGCCGGGCCAGGCTTTGGGTCGAGCCTAGCCAAGCCCGAGGCAAAAAAAACTAGGCCCGGGCCCAACCCAGCCCGGCCATCGGGCCTAGTTTTTTGGGCCCAAGCCCGGCCCGAACGTGTAAAAGCCCACCGGGCCTCGGGCCTCGGGCCAGGCCCCTTCAAAAAAGCGCAAAAACGGCAGGCCCGGCCCAGGCCGGCCGGGCCGGGCTGCCCATGGCCAGGACTATTGCGAAGTAGTTATTAGATGATGGGTTGCTAGAGTGACACAAGCTTCAACCCTAGTTTATACGTTATTTCGTAAGGGACTGATTTGGATCCATATGTTTAATGTTATGGTTAAATTTTATCTTAATACTTTTTTCGTAGTTGCGGATAAACCTGGGAATGGTTTGGACTGAAACTATGGTTTCAGTCAGTTTTCGTATTGGGCTGCTTTTGGATTGGATGAAATGGGCTAAGTATGAAATCAGTTTAATTTGGTCTGGGATTTAAGTATTGTTGGACTGGGTTAGCTCGGTCTGGACAGGAACCGAATTGGTCTCAGACCGTTTCGACCCATGGTCTGAAACCAGATCGAGGACCAAATCGGCAGCCGGGCAAGTGACCTAACGAGGAGCGCCTCTACGGCCGCCGCCTGCCGCTAAGTTAGGGATTTTCCGCCGCCTGCCTGCCGCTGTCGTTGCCGCCCACTGGAGCTTGGTCGCCGCCTTCCCCTCCCTCTGACACCATTCGGTCGGTGGATGGCCGTCTTCCCCTCCCTTGGCTGGAGCTTGGCCGTCGGTCACCGCTACGGGAAGGACTCGCCGGCTGCCGCTGGCTGGAGCTCGGTCAGTGCATCCTTACCATTCTCTTCCCCTGCTGCTGCTCCTTCCTCTCCCGAACTTGTTGATGCTCTCTCTTTCAACCTCCCTCTGCTGAAGATCCTTTCTCCACAAAACTGCTGCTCCTTTTCTTCCCCAAACCTTGCTGTCTGCTCCTGTCTGTATCTTGAACCTGCTATTTCGGTAGTATTGAGATGTGTAAGACAGTGTAATGATCAGATGTTACAAGTACTTGCACCTGTTAATTTTTCAGTTCAGATTTGTGCTTGTTTAGTACTTGCTGTTGCTGCTCCTCCCTGTCTCTTTCACATATGTGGCTGCCGCGGTCGACACCGCCCTCAGACGCAAGAATATCCTCAACATCAAGTGCCTTGACGATCCTCTCCTGTGAGCAACCGATCAATCTCCCAGTATATTCTTTTTCATCTATCAATGATATGCCACGTTTTAGAAACTCGATTGGTTCATATATGGTGTAGGTGTGTTGTTCCGAGGGATAAGCTCAACACCCTAGTGTATGACCAAAAGAAGAGTCTTGACCTTGTGAAATCCCTATAGACTTGGCTGTAAATCTAATCCTTTCTAATTACCTATTTCTAAAGTGCAAGACACAGGACATCTGGATGACCAACTTTTGCAGATACTGGTGCATTGTTACTCAAGTAACGTTGAATTTTTTTTTATTTTTTTTTTTGAAGCAAAGTAACGTTGAATTTGTATTGACGAATTTTAAGAACTTACTGAACATCTGATTATATTTCAGATCTAATGTTATTATATTTTAACTATTGTTATATTAGGATATTTGCATGTTAGTTAGAACGAATTGTGCTATTGCTATATTATTTTGACGCTCCGAACGTAGGGGAAACTTTTGTTTCTTGGATGGCCAGCTCCTGTATCCACGCCAACGGACAGATAATCGTTGGAGATGCACTAACAATATATGGCTAATTTCGGAATCCAGGTTAAAGCATAGCAATTGGGTGAGCAAGTAGAGAAGCAGGTAGAAAACAAAGAACCCTTTGCACCCACGTCGACTATTAGATTAAAAATGGTGAATGGAACTCTATTACACCCAGTCGGCTTTATATCACAAGTATAGCAACACAAAAAGTAAATGAAAATGAGGTAGAGTTGATAAAGCAAAAGAACTGCTGAAAGAGTTGTTTGTTGATGTCATTGAACTAGAGCCTGGTCTTCATAAACGAACCATACATTCTTCAGTAATATTCAGAGACTTCAGAATCATGACAAATAGAAGCAATATTTTTGTGAAACCTCATTAGACAATCAAATTACATGGTAGACATCCTTCTACAACATATATACATGCATATATTTCAACACAAGGTTCCCTACAAAGATTACTGTGTCAAAATTGTACATCTCTACCCAGTGAAGGGTAGCCAGAAGATATTGCTGGTCAATGAGACCATTTCTTCCCATAATCATAGCTAGTACATAGCACGACAATCAGCGTGTGTATCCTTCAAATACAGTCAGCCAAGAACCAAGCTGAGTTATCATGGTGGAGAAGTGCAAAGAAAAACTGTTCACTATGTCTCTAACTTCACATCTAATAATTTGAGCTCTTCTAATAATTCCTCATACTTCTTTGTTTCCTTAGCAATTTGATACCGAAGCTTTTGTTCCTAAAAGCATGATCACAATATTCTTTTGTTATATCAATCAGTTCTCTAAAATGTTCAGCTCTAAAGATAACACATAGGAATGTACAAGGGCACCAACCAAAATATAACTCAAGATTGCCAAATTTCTCTAAAATGTCAAGCTCTGAAGACAACACAAAGGAATGTACAAGGGCACCAACCGAATATTAAATGTAACTCATGATTACCAAATTATGACGGCGATGGCACTAGGCCACTAAATGGATTCATTTTCAGTACAAGGAGGGCCTTCATACTATGTAGGTTGTACCTTAACGATGGTGAAGTAAACCATGATTTCAATTAATAGATTAAAAATGATGTGGCTGAACTTTACAAGAATGGTTGACTTCTTTAAGTTTGGACAAAGTACATATTGCGGGAAGTTTGGTTCCGTTGAAAACCAAGCATTCACAGACATTAGAGACAGTACCTCATCATTTGCACTCATGAAACAACAGTAAGAGGTACTACTTTACTTGCACAGAAGATAATAATACCTTTTCGACAAGTTGCTTCTCTGATTCCTCGTATTGTAAGCATCTGGTAATTCAAAAAAGATAGGCGTTAACACTAAAATTGTCGAAGCACGCATGGCATATTTACTTTGAAGAAGCTGTAACCTCTTGGTTCTAATGTTACATGTATATTTGTTTTCATACTACCCTGATATTGCTAATAGAAACATGGTACCCAGACATACGAGCAACTGATAATCCTCTTTATCAACATATACTATTCATATTCTGCGTTAACTACATCAGCAGTAACAGATAAATTGCATGTGGGAAAATGCTTTCCTAAACTGCTTTGAACTCTGTAGATTCTCCTTAACAAACAAAGAAACTACAATGGCTAAAACAAAAAGATGTACAAAGTGCATATATTGACGTGTCAAACTCTGTAGATGTTCCTTATCAAACTCTGTATTGTACTTACTCATCACGCAATTTGTCATTTTCAAGTGTCAAGGTCTTGTATTCATGAAATCGTTTTCGTTGAATAACATCCCGATGCTGTCAAAGAAAACCAACAACAAATCAGCCATGTAAGGACACTCATGGTATTTTGAAGATGTTCCATACCAATATGCGCTTCTAAGAGGACCAAAAGAATTAGTTTTGCGGTGTGTAGCGTGTGGGTGGGGGTAACCAGACAGAAAAGATAGATGCCCATGCTAGTCTCCCTTGCCTTCGTCTGGTGATTATTTATGTTGCCGATGACTCCGAGGGCATCGAAATTTCTCTTCTGTCCCATGCCTGTTAAAAAACAGAAAAACATTAACCAAATAGTGAAATTTGACAGGTGACCCTAGAAAGATGGATTACTCACTACTCTGTGCACAGCTGCTTGTTGGAACATCAGCAGTCAGTAACTGATGAGGAACACTTGCTGGCGAAGTACCAGCGCCCGTCTGCTTAGCATGATAAAGTGCACGGGATGCTTTAGGTAATGACTTGTTATCATAACCAAGGCGATGGCAATGCAGGCCCCTACAAAAATGATTAGTTCAAGCATGAAATTCTGATGACATTAAGTCACTCAAAAAAGCATGACAAGGACACAACAAACACCCACACATCAATCATAGTCATTTATCACAACAAACGCGTAAAAGTTTAAGATGAGGTTAAGAACTAGCAGTTAACTAGTTAATATATCTCAAATGAGATAATATTCAGCTTTTACAAGTTATGATCTCAGGCCATCCAATTAACTCAAAATCAGCAACTTCCTACAGTGATCAACAAACTAAACCTCTTGTTGTTGCCAGTGCAGCAATGCTACAGTTCATGCACTACAGTGGTTCACAGGGTTCTCATGCCCAGCACACATTCACAGTAGGTACAGCATCGCAACTATTTCATATGTCAAGTAAACTCAGATCTTAGATAAAACAAGGAGGGAGTCAATAGATGCACGATATGGGGTTAAAGTACTAGAATGCAGAGTAGTAGGCCACAGATTAAAGAGAGGAATTTCATGAGGAAAAGGCTACTCATAAGTACAACGCAGTCATGACTTGACTTGACAATCCAATCTTCACTATTTTGCAATGCATGTGATGGCTCTTTTCAAGACATGCTTCTGCAATTGTAACAGAAGTAAAGTTCTGATTTCATACTGCAATAAAACGTAAGTTTTTTGCTCAAAAAACTGGATCAAATTTTAAGTCTTACATGCATGTCGTGTAAGCATTGTCAAATTATATCGGATGCTTTTTTTAACATTTTGAATGGCAAACTCAGGACCTAGGGAGCGCACCTAAATTAACATCACGGGACGTGTTTGGTTCCCTGGGTAGCTTTAGGCTGCATGGCATGGGGGATGCTGGGTGAGTGCGGCCTGGTTCAGCCGATGCAACGATGAGCCGAGATGAGTGTTTGGTGAAATTTGTATGATATGGCTGGCTGTACATGCAGGTTTTTCAGAATGTAGCTGAAATCAGGAAGGAACGTGGATCATGGCGACGGGATCTGGGGCTCGATGACTCCAGATGGCCTGACGGTGGATCCTCGCTTGTGACGGCACGAGGCGGCAGGATCCGGCGTGCAGCGCTTGGACGAGGGCGAACGAGGCCGGTGGCAGCGCTTGATGAGGCCGGCAGCGACGCTTGGACGTGGGCGAAGGAGGGCGGCGGAGCTTTACGAGGGCGCGGCGGCGGAGCTTGACAAGGGCGCGGCGGCGGAGCTTGACGAGGGCACGGCGGCGGCGGCGCTTGGTTCGAAGAGACCGAAGAGGGGAGAAGAAAACCAAAGGGACAAGCCTGTACACGAGCTACGCTCGATCCCTGCGTTTCCCTCAGCCTGGCTGAGAGGCCCCTTTTTGCATCCATCGGGCCAGGCTGAAGAGCCCATACAGGGTACCAAACCAAAATTTGCATGGTGTATGTGAACCACATGCAACGCAGCTAACCAAACACCCCTGCAAGTATGCTGCCAGCAGACGACATCAAAGAAAAAAGGTATGGACTATCCAGTAAATGCCAGAAAAAAAGGACTATCAGAACTACACAAAGGTCCCCCAATATGGTCAGTCTTACGGTTCTTAATCCAGACAGCATGTGCTGACTAACGAGTGACAAATTTTTTGATTAAATGATTTGGCAAAATGATCCACAACAGGGCACACCTGCTAGCGTGATGAGATCATATTTGTGTGGGTCTATTGTAGATTAGAAACGTGACCAAGTTATCGTTAGTTCGTTACTGTTGCAAATCTTTAGAATTTTTCTGAAAGAAAAAGCTTTACCAGTATTCGTAAGTCATTTCTTTCAAACGATTCTCGAGCCTTTGATAAAGGACTGACTTCTCAAAGTCCTGCTTGTCGTGGGTAGGTTTGATGAAACTCGCATCAAGAATACCTGAAAATACCAACAGAACAAAACATACGCATAATGTTTCTTCTATATTTTGCATAGGACACTACGCAAAAGGCTAATGCTCATCATCTCCACCCACTTAGATCTGCTCCCTATATTATCTCTACTCTTTTACCACTACAAAAAGTTATGACAAGAATGCATGGGTTTACATTCATATGTGCCAACTTGATATACGCCTAGAAAATCAGGAGCGTATGTGTCCCACACAAAAAGAACAAAGTGTACATGTTTGAATGGCATACAATTCACTGTTTAGGCTGTACCAATTTGATTGTTTGTGTAGGCACATGTGGTCATATTTTAGCACCACAATTTGAATGTGTACATCTTAGCTGTACCAATTTGATTGTTTTGTGTAGGCACATGTGGTCATATTTTAGCACCACAATTTGTACGTGTACATCTTATAGCATTGTAAACATCCATGAAATCCGTTTTAAAAAATCATTAAAAAGTCTCAAATATTTTCGTAACTTCTGTATAGTGGGAAAAGAGAGAGAATATAAGGAGCTTATACAAGTGGGCGAAGGAAATCTACTTTATACTAAGTAAAACATCTCTTACCCACAACTCCCCGCCCTTTGCCATATGAGTTGCTGGCAACTTTCCAAAAAGGCTGCAAATAATTTGGAAGTGTGACTTGCCAAGCAAACAACAGGGTTGAAGAAACATATCTAGTAAATAGCATACATCACATATTTTCTCAATTGTGCTACATAGTGAACTCAATTTCTTTATTATTCAAGTTGCAGGGATGATATTTACGTTTTTTAAAATATTTAGCTACTTGGAAGACTACATAGCACAATGGCACTACAAGCTTGGGTGAATGCTCGCTAAGCATGACCCGCAAAAAAAAAGGCTCGCTAAGCACCTAATCATGGGCAACTATTTAGAATGTTAATTAATCCATACTGGATTAAATTGGGTGTGTTGTGCATAAAATACTAAAGACTCCCTAGTCCCAACAGCATATTCTCACCCAACTATTTTAGATTATTGATATATACCAGATTATAGTGGAGGTCTTATGCACAATTTGCCAAGGAGTCCCTAGTCTGAACAGCATATCCCCATCAACAGGATATGGACTTGTCCATAACTCAAATAAATTACCAATGCATTTCACTAGAACTACATTCCCATAGTCTAGAGTCATTCATTTGTTAGATAAAGACATTGCTTGAAGGAAGAGCTTTCTGATGATAAAAGTACGTCAAAAGCAACTTATTGCTGACAGAAGATAAAGACTATAAAAAAGGGCAGCCCCGTGCACGTAGCTCCCACTTGCGCAGGGTCCGGGGAAGGGTCCGACCACTTTGGGTCTATAGTACTCAGCCTTTCCCTGCATTTCTACAAGAGGCTGTTTCCAGGACTCAAACCCGTGACCTCATGGTCACAAGGCAACAGCTTAACCGCTGCGCCAAGGCTCCCCTTCGCAGAAGATAAAGACTATGAATAAACTATTTCTTGAGAAGCACAATATTCTACGTTGTCAAGTGTCGTGGAAAAGAAGAAAGCTCTCACCGTTATTAAACGATTCTTGTGATAAACGTTGAATCCTTGTACATCAGTGTCTGGGGCACCTTTGACAAATCCGATGGTTGTGACTATAGATAGCTAAATAAAAACAACATGGAGGTACACTGAGAAGGCATGCTTTATATAAACAAGTTTTGCCTACTATACTACAAATACAGAACATTTTGCAAAATCTAAGCAGACTTTAGTGGAGGTGAGGGGGTAACCATTTCATGGAGTAAAAACCACTACCGAGGGACTAGATGATCCATCCAGTAGGACATTCATTTCCAGGCTAAAAAGACTTACAAAGGAGTGTTTCAAGTATTATTAATATATTAAGATCTTGTTTTACCTAGCAACTAGTGGTTCTGGAAAAAGTTGCATAACATAGCAAATGTAGACATTTCTAACAAGGATGATACAACAACACAAAGGGCAACCTATTCTGGACCTCCTCGTCATCCATACTTAACTAAAATGATTTACTTTGTACAACATGGATATGACTAACAGAAAATAACTAGATAAGCAATGTACAATTTAACCTTGATTTTTTCTCAAAAAACAGAACAGATTATCCATGGAAGTAAAACACTTCTATGAGTAAGATTCAATATGGGGAATTTATCATGAGAAATCCATAGGCGAAAGCAGTTAGCAGATGGCTATCAGATAGGTTTCTCACAAAACAGACCAACCAACTATTAGAATAGAGACATCCAGGATACAACCATACAAGTGAACATATACAATCATTCTAACTATCTTACAAGAAGCTTTAAAATGGTTTTCACATCGACCAAATTGGTGAAATAGAAAATATGCTTCAGAAATTCTAAGTTACACATACCTCTGGAAGTCCAGCGATTTGTGGTTTATACAACACACATTCACGATACAACAAATCATTAACTACATTATGTGGTTCCACATCCTGTCCACGCAGGATTATCCTGAAACTATCAGGTACACGAAGATACAAGATGGAGGCGTATGCCTGCTTGAATTCAGGCAGAAATGCAAATGAGACATGTTTGTCTAGCAAAATAAACAAAACAAGTTTAATAAATCAGATAATGGGGATCAGTACTTAACTCTAAGTGAATAACGAAGTCGATTTGCAATGTAGTCCTGAGTCACAAGCTTCTCATGTTTGTTGGTTTTGACCTTCTTCTGTGCCCCAGTAATGAGAATATCCTAAAATATTGTATATCGAACTGTTTAGCCAATGGTAGAACTGTTCAAATAATAACCCCAAAGGAGATGCACAGATAGAACATGTAGCTTGTAAGATAAATAAACACTTCTACTATATAGCATGGCATATGTATTGAAACATATCACTTCATCAAAACTAGAAACTCCTACAATACTTATTCAGCATGTATCAAATCTCAAATCAATTCCGTGTCAGTTCTATAGAGTTGTCATGTCATGTTTCTAATGTTATGCTTCCAAATAATGGATTGGGAACTTTGATTTTATTCCTATTGTGTTACACAAGAACTGGCTTACTTGTAAAACGAAGCAAATAACAAACTTATCTTTGTTCTACTTATTTTATATATGTGTGGTCCACGATCATGTAGGTTTGGCTAGTTGTCTACCATTTCAAAAGCATTTTAGAGGGGAAAAGCCCAATTGAAGTACTAAGAAAGAAAACTAGGGGGAGGCCCTGTTGAAGAGCTTGCTGTCATTAATTACATATCTCGCTCTTTCCACCTCCTACAGAACTAACAAGAAAAGCAGGGAAGGATTAGAGCTTGCCAAGCAATTACTGATCAAGCTAAAAATTCATCTTATCATCACATCTTCTATCGTTGAAACTGGTTTCTATAGTACATCAAAATAACATGTGGGCCCCAACCAGTTATTTTGGAAAATGATGTGCTACAGGGCAGGGAATGTGGCATACTGGCAAGTCCGTGTCTGTCAAACCATGTTTACTGAAATCCTCAAGCTAATCGTAAACAATTAAGTCAAACTGGATTGGGACATCAATGTCCCAATATAAACGAGCTAAGTTAATTCATGCAATAACACATCAAGTTTTGGGACATCAAAATCATCTGCCAGCAACAAATATAGCTCTAGGAGGCCAACATTACAAACCTTCTTATCGGAGTTGAAATCAAGCTCCATGTCCCCATCATCATTGAACCAGAGGTTGAATACAATTATCTTCGTCCCATGCTCTCCGATATCATCAAACTGTATCGTAAGTAAGAAAGTATTGAGATAAACCAGAGAAAAGATCAGCCAGAATGATAAGCTGGGCAGCTCGCCCTAACTAACAGAGATCTATGATAATTGAGGCACTTATTCTACAAGGGAACTGTCACATATAGAATTGATGGGAACTAGGAAAACCATTTGGCTTAATTTACAGATAAACTATACATGCATCAATTAATCTTTTGCGATAAATAAAGAATATAATACACATATAATGTTACATAGCATGCTAGAGACATATAATTGATTTTTAAGAATTAGAAAATCACTATGCAAGTCTATTATGGGGGGCAAAAGACTGTTCAACAGTTCCATAGGCACCTTCACATGCAGGTCACTTTCCTACAAAAGAAGACGGACCATCTTTCTAAACCATTTCATCTATACAGGCTATTTGTTAATCTGTCAAACCTCTTAATTTCCAAAAGCATCTGCGAACTCTTTCTTTACATAGTATACTCATCTTTATATGATTGTTAGCACCATTCAACAGGTTGCCAGAAATATGCCAAAACAATAAAATGCTAGTTTACATACTTGTTTAAGCAACTCAGCTTCACTAGCAAAAGGGGACCATTTCGAAAGGATCGCCAAATTAGAAGAGAAGAGTTTCTGATTATGACGTAACAGCTGAGTATATGAAGCAGTTGTAAGATCATATTGGTAGTCTACCTGCAAGAGACAATGGGGCAAGGGAACAAGTAAAACTACAACATAGCTCAGAGCCCAGCTAACTAAAATTTCCAGAACTTGACATCAGCTTACAAAGAAAGCATCAAACTTACTGTTGGCACCAATACATCATCGCAGCCTGTTTCCATCAGAAATGTGTAAGAAAGAAGACCAATACTTCTTGTCGGTGTCCTAAAAAGAAGCAACAAATTGCTTGAATTGATACATGAACTGGGTGGCCAGACATTTTACTAAGGCAACAGAGGAATTGAGAGGTACGATTATATTTTAAGCAACATAACCGAATGATAACTCATGTGGTGGCAGCGTCACAGTGAAGCATGAGTGTGTGTCTGACAAGGAACATGCAACAAATAATATAATAAATGAACAGTCGCCATATGAGATTGGATTAGACATTAGAGTGATACATGTTTGATTGTTTCCATGTGACACAAAAGGTGAAAATTACCCCCATACGGACATTTTATTCAAAAGCATTGCAAAAGGCCGTATTAACACTTAGAAATACTTTCAATAAATATTTCACCATTTCTCAGATCCATTCCTGCACAATACTCTTGAAAATTTTAGTGTACTTTCCCTAAGAGTTACTTTTGAAACCGACGACCAAGGTGGCAAGTGACACCACAAAATGTTTGTTCTGATATACCACCTGTTTCTAAATGTAAGACGCTTTGGCAGTTTAAAATGGACTGCCAAAACGTCTTGTATTTATGAACAGAGGGTGTAATTGTGAAGAACTGGACTCCTAGATTAAATGAGTGCAAATGAGAAATACCAGTTTTTTTGGTTCTGTGTAAAAACAATCACATCTGCTCCAAGCCTCATTGTGCTTGTTTTGAAACCATTGCCATCTGACAAACAGGCAACAATGAATCCAATAGCAAGACTTTAAGATATTGATGATCTTGCATGGAAATAGGAAAAAAGGCACAAAGAACATACATTGTCCGATGAAAGCATCAGACTGCTTATCTGAAAATCCAAAGCTCATGCAACATCGCAGTGCATCTGGATCCATCCCCCCTCCATCATCTTGGCCATACAGAACACCCCAAGGTCACTATTGAATGTTTCTACCAACTGAATAGTTTCACATTTATTTGTCATATCGAAGCTGCAAACCTTGAACCAACAATGAGGAACTACCATCCCGTGGGTTTGTGAATTTATTAACACGAACAAATGTTGCCCCATTATTCACCTGACAGAAAATACGCAACCAAATAAACCATACATAGCATTCATGTTGATCTATTTTTCCTTTTAGGATGGAGTTAATTGAGCATCGTCAAATACGGAAAATACCTCATCAATAGCGTTATCAAGAAGCTCAGCAATGGCTGCAAAAATTAGCGAAGTCAACACTGGATACAAATAATGAAGAGAAAGTACCATATGATGCAAAGCAAAGTGTGTCCATTATACACGCAAGAAAGTGGGTTAGGATCAGGTTAGATATGCTTGAATTTAACCCCAAAAACAAGTAGAAACCGCGATAATGTCCTAGATTGGTTTTCGAAGTGCTAGTATTTACACAATGATTCAAGCCTGTACTTACAAAAGTTATGTAAACAGTGGAACAATTGTTATAATACAAGATTCTGAGATCGAGAGGGACATTTATGCCCAGATTGTAAGGATAAATGGGCTAGGCCACCTTGTATGCGGCAGACAAAAATTCAGATGACAATTCTCAATATACGTCTCAGGTCCTTTTTGTTTTAACTAAGTGAGTAAGCCATTTAGAAGCCACTGTTTTACTATATTTACTGCTAACATGCAATTTTTTAAACTTCCCATTACATGTTTACAACCGGAAATAAAGTGGTAGTGAGGAAGAGAATTAACCCATGATAGTCAAATACATAAATGACAAGCTCACAACTGACAAGACAAGTTGTTACTACAAAACTGCATTCAACAGAAACTGGGACGCCATTATGCGTATGAACTCTTATCTTACTAAAAAAATGCATTTAACAAAGACTGGGAGGCCATTAAGTGTATGAAAGAATTTGTGAACCAAATGAGTCAATTTCTCAAGATGGAGTTATTTTCTAAGATTAGTTAATTCTCATACCGCCAAATGCCCACTTGTGAGAAGTAGCATTTGAGTGCAGGAACTTTGGATTGATCCTCAGCCGATTCCGCCCACCTGCACACCACCAAATCACAAACACCGAAATCAAAAGGAAATAGTAGAAACAAGGGACGTGTCGCCGAGATTTCTGCAGTCAGCATACCAGGGGCATCGGCGTCAGGGTTGCGGCGGGCTACAACATACTCGCCGGACTTCCAGAATTGGCGGCAGAGGCGCGGCGGGGGGAGGACCCTGGGGGCTTCGGCGGCGAGTGGCAAGGGCACGGGTTCCTCGTCCTTGACGGGCACGAGCGCGTAGCAGCCTGGGGGCTGGATCGGGTAAAGCAGGGGCTTCACATCGGCGAGCTCGTACGGCTTGACATCGCGGGGGGAGGAGGGGGCGATGGTGACGGCGCTGGTGCTGGGAAAGGGGAGGGACTCCTCGTCGTCGTCGCTGGAGAGATCTATCACCTCGGCGGCGCCTCCGGACCTCATCCCGTCGCCGGCGTCGGAGCTAGGGCTTCTTTTTTACTCTACCTTCTCGGTCAGTCGGTCCCCTCTGAGCTTCTGGGCGGGTCGTTGAGCGGACAAACTCGTTCCTGTGTCCCGTATTTTCATTCGGAGGGTCGTTCAGCATCTTTTTTCATAGAAAAATCGTCTTGATTCCGTAAAACGGCCTGTTCTGAAAAAGAAAACGAGCGAACCTGCATATTTCGGCCCTCGTCCATTTTCTCTCTTCATTTTACCGTTTTCTCTATCTTACGGACGTTTTAGCTTGCGCCCAGCATTTCGCCGCATCTCGTCGCGGATTCTTGCTGTCCCGGGCCACCCCACACCGTCGAATAGTTCCACCGCCCTCCGCCGCATCTTCTCCACCAATTTTGAAGCTTGGGGTTGCCGATTTTTACCGCAAGAGCGTGGCCGCCGCCATGAATATGTTCCAGAGCTTTGCGCGGGCCTCGTTGCGGGCGGATCCGGCTGCTCCGGCAGCGACTGAGCCACGGAATTGTCTTCGCACCTGCCGTAGGTTTGGGGCTGTGGGGAAGTACAGACGGCGGATTTGCTTCCGACCGACGGTGCGGAAGAGATCTCGGTTGCGCGGATTTGCTACCTGCCAAAGGTAATCTCTCTAGCGGTTTCTCTGCATTTTAATTTTAGGTGACGAGAGATATGTTATATTAAATCACTGATTAATTTTTTAGATGGATGATCGAAGTTCTTCGTCGTTGTTAGAGTTGGATGATTCTGACATAGAGGAGATGCTTTTTGACGACGATGTCGACCACCTCGTGATGGTGTTCTAGATAAGGGGGTGGTAGCCACGTCGGATCCCGGGCACATGGGTTGGGTCAAGGACCACCAAATAATTAGTCACTGGCCACATTCGTCGGCTCCTAGGACAATCAAAATGGAATTTTCTGAAGACTTGGTGCATACTCCAAGACTTAGAGGCAATCCTCAACATATTTACCATTAAATGTAACGACCTATGTGTAACCTGATGCGGAGCATCCTTCGATCATCCCCATGGACACTACATGGACTCATCAAGCACCACGAGAAACCTATGACAAGAGCTCGCGCACGTGCCATCGGAAACGAGGTGAACTCACTCCTTTATGAGATTGATATGGATATAGATGAAACTTGGATGCTACCTCATCAAAGAATGCTATGTGTCATTACGTACGAGGACGACACCCATCAAGCAACTAAGGAGCATCCCCAAAGCCTAGGAGAAGGACGTCAAGGCCACAGGAAAGAAGGGGTCCCATCAAAAAGAAGGCAACACCTCCTAGGTGACCCCGTGCGCATGGGCCTCCCAGACCCCGTGCCCATGGGCTACCCAGAGAGCTATTAGAAGTGAAGATGCACACCCTGTGTGCAAGGGCCTTCAGACCACATGTCCATGGGTCTCGCCGATGTAGCTACCCCTTGCGCACGAGCGTGTACCGTGCCCACGGGACCCCCGTGCGCACGGGGCCAACTTAGCATGTGCGAACGGCCCTCCCAGGATTCGGCCATGGAATTTCATGTTTTGCCCTCCAACTCGTCCCTCGCCCCTCGCCCCAAGCTACTTATATATTCCGTGTCTAAGACATTTGTTGGGGTTAGCAAAGTATATGAGACTATCTAGAGGGAGTTTTGCTCATCTACCACTCCTATAGGAGATCAAGAACTCCTAGGAGAAGATCCCTAGTGGATATCAAGACCCCTTCTAGGGAAGGATCTTGCTAGATCATCAAGACCTCATCTCCTCTTGGATTTCAGAAGAACTACCTTTGTGCTTGTTTTCCTTTGATTGATCTTGTATGCTTGTGTATCTTGACTATGTTATTCTAGTGGATGTGTAATTGGGTTTTGTTTGAGTGAATTTCTCTTGTTATTCCCTTTTCCCCCTCCAAGTGTGAAAAGATTATCCATTAGGGTTCCACCCTACAACATCTTGTATCATGAGCAAGGTTGGTTCACATCTTAGAGTCCCTATCCCCCCCCCATATTCTAGCCTAATTTTGTTGCTTTTTGTCCCAATTCGAATATCCCCAAAAAAATAGTCGTCCCAATTTTTTTGCAAGTTGTTGGTTCTTGTGAGATTTTATTGATTTGATCCACCAATTTCTTGTTTGGCAAATGGATCTATCCCTCCCCACTATCCCCAACCTTCCCCAATGATGATTTTTCCCGAAATCTTTGTTTTAGCCACGAATTTGGGTGTGTTCTTGCGCAGGCGGAACACTCCATGCGCACGGGACCCCGATACGCCGTGCCCACATGACCCCGTGCACATGGGCATCACTTACCCCATGTGCATGACCTCACTAGAGAGGTTTTCCTCGCCCATTTGGTCCAGTTTTCCACTACTTGCACCCCCATTTGTCTTCCGCATTACCACACTTCGCCCACATACGTAGACTTCTACCACCACACATTTAGTTTGAGATTTTGAGTTGCGGTTTCCGTTTTCGAAGGTTTCCGTTTGACGTCAACATCACGGCTATTCATCATTGCCAGAGACTCGACATCGACAATGACCACCTCACCTTCATACCAACCGTAAGCAAGGACGGTAACCTCGATGACAACTTGTACATATCCCTTGCCATTGCATTGATAGCCTCGAGCCATTTTACGTCAATTACCCATCAAGACTAGCGAGTTGAGAATTGTCGGGCCACGCTCTTTGTGCACCTTAGTGATACGATTGCTCCGCATAGTTATATTTAGCGTGCAATCATATTGCTATCACCATTATGCCATAAGTCTCTCATGTGCATATCTTATATACTTGTCTCACATATTGGCTCATGCATCAAGCATTTTGGCATAGTCAAAATAAGAGGAAGAAAAAGCTTTTAAACAAAAGAAGAGAAACACGGAGCTTGTAATCAATAGCATTGAGCCATTTTGCATAGTTCATTGTTTTCGGTCATACATACATAGCATACTTGGGATTGAAGATGACACGTTACTCTCATAGGTTGGTGCACAAGCATATCTAGCCCATTTGAGCAATCGAGCTATTGTCTTTCTAGTATCCATGCAACAAGAGCATTTTCCATGGTTGCACATTTTGAGCTCATTCCATGGCTGTGCAGATCCCATTTTATCTTTCGTGTGTGTGTTTCCAAGTGATATCCTAGGGTTTTGATCTATTTGTCTTACTTGCATTTGTGAATCTCTTCAACATTATCAATATCTTGCCTAAAACTTGCTTGAATTTTGTGCCACTCATCCTAACTGAGTTCCTCAATAAGCCTTTACTTTTGTAGGTGTGGGAAACAAACATGTTACCACTTCTACTATCATAGCATTTGCACTGAGTGATACTCCATACATCCTCAATCTTCGGAAAAGGTAACTTTGGTATTGCTCTCTCATTGTCCTACTCACCACCACTTGACTATGATGGATAGGCCAAGCACTTCGGCAAACCCACTCTTCAAGGATAAAGATGAAGCGCACGACTTGTTACTTTAATTTAATTTTGTTGGGTTTAATGATGATGCTTAATTGGGATTGAGAGGATGTCTATCTTCTCGATGTTTAACAACCACCATGATAGTTAAATAAAATTTATTCCTTTGCAGTAGGGAAAAATTGGATTTATGCAAAACTGTAACCATAGAGCTTTCCACCAGCCACACATGCATGCAGTATAGCATACTTCTGTTCATTACTCTCTATGTGTTACATTGCCAGCATATTCCATGTGCTGACCCATTTTCGGGTTGCAACGTTCATGTTGCAGACTTTCAGACGACGAGTAAGGTGCCTTAGGTCGTGGTTCTATACTCAGTGATGCCGTTGGAGTTCATGGACTCACTTATCTTCCAAGCCTTCCGCTGTTATCGTTATTAGATGGCCTTAAGCCATATTTATTGTAATAAGTTCTCTTTTGAGACATTCGATGTAATAAGTGTGTGATTGCTACTCTGTTATAAATCCTTCAAGTACTGTGTGTGTCAGCACTACTGATCCAGGGATGACACTGAAGCACAGAGGTCAGACCGGTTGAGGTCTGGTTGCTAGAGAACTGGACGAGGAGTCCACAAGCCCTCTAGGCGCTTTACCCCCCCCCCCCCCTCGGGAGGGGGCTCCGGGCTTGTGGGCACCTCAGGCACCCCCTTGATGTGAGACCGACGCGAAAAAATCTTACAAATATCCAAACCTCCAAAAAGAACCTTAAATCAGAAGTTCCGCCGCCGTAAGCCTCTGTAGCCTCGAAAAACCAATTGGGAGCCCGTTCTGACACCCTGCCGGAGGGGAAAATCATCACCGGAGGCCATGTTCATCATCCCGGCGGTCTCCATGATGAGGAGGGAGTAGTTCACCCTCAGGGCTGAGGGTATGTACACTACTGCAGGATGCTGCTAACGCGACACTATAATCGGAGATCCTTCGACGAAACTGTGTGTGATGCATTAGATGCAAACGGTGATGTAAAAACCGTCAAAAAGATGCAAAACATTTGCGATGGCGGATACATCAAACACGGTTCAGATTTTAGTTGCGTGTGTGATGCGGGCATACGATTCAGTTCAATGAACTATTGGCAATGAGGAAGAAGAACAGAAACGGGCAACCAAATGAAGGCGTGTGCGATATACGACATACCGTTTAGTCAGATTAACTATTTGTGATGAGGCGGAATAACAGATATGGGCAGCCAAATGAAGGTATGTGCAATTGAGGGCAGACGCTTCAGACGAATCAACTGTTTAAGATTCGGCAACACAACAGAAACGGTCAGCAAAATCAACGTGTCTGCGATTGACGGCATACACTTCACACGGATGAACTGTTTGCGATTAGCACAATAAGCAAAACCAGTTAGACATATCAACGTGTGTGCGCTAGACGAGCACACATTCTAATTAAAAGAAGCGTGCGCGATGGTAATAACGAGCGCGCCCGGTTGTTGGAACAAGACATGTGCTGACATTGCCTATTGCGGTGCACCCTATGGTGCAAACGCCACGTACGCGGCCGAGAAA